TCCACAAGATATGATTCTTGCCATCAAGGAAAGGGTAGAGAAGATAGCCATGTGTTAGTTGGAGTTGGGTGTCAACTTGGCTAGACCACAATTCTGAGTGGTTTAAGCATTTGTGATGTGGGTTATTCCCATGATGAGACTGGATGTATGTTTTGAGGAGCCAATCCATTGAAAGGGAGTTTCCCTAGGAGTGTGGCCTGCTTTCAATATATTTATGGACGTCCTGGGAAAAGAGACACTCTTCTGTGGATCAGGATCCTGTTGTGCTGCCTGCAGCTGTTCATGAGTGGACAGTCCACCACTCGGCCTGAAGATCTTGAATTCATCATTTGTTGGAGTCAACAGCCGGTATACTGCCTGCCAACCTTGAGCTCATCAGCCCCTGCAGCTGCGTGAGTCGAGAAAAGCTTGACGTTTGATCCAAGAACTTGGGACTTGCCAGCTTCTATAAGTGTGTGAGCCATTTTCCTAAGATAAATTTCTCTTTCTCTCTCTATAAGCTTTCCTAACACAAGCCATGTAAATAAATAACAAATATTATCTAGTTTAATGTTGAAGGTGTCCTGGTGGCACAACAGTGAAGTGCTGGGCTGCTGACCGAAAGGTTTGAATCCACCCAGCAGCTCTGTAGGACAAAGACCTGGCAGCCTGCTCCTGTGAACCCTGTGGGGCATCTCTCCTCTGCCACGTGAGGTTGCTATGAGTTGAAGTCAGCACTGTGGCTCCTAACGACAGCAGTTTAATGTGAGCAGATTGGAGCAGGAATCATTGTAGTTTGAAGAGATCAGTCTCCCAGCACAAGTCTATCTTTAGGAAAGCTAGTTGATTATCTAGGAGCTCTGGTAGCATAGTGGCTAAGGCACTTGACTGCTAACCAGAAGGCTGGCGGTTCAAACCCACCAGCCGCTCCTCGGAAGGAAGATGGGGCAATCTACTTCTGTAGTGATACTGCCTTGGAAACCTAAGGAGGGGTTGCTATGAGTCAGGTTTGACTCGACGGCATATAACAACAACAACAACAGTTGATTATCTACCCAAGAGAACTTACAATGTAGCAAAACTTTTGTGACATTTCCATGTTCTGGTTTTGCAAAACTGAAAATTTGCATTCGTTTTATACTTAACAAAAACCAAACTCATTGCCATTGACTCATAGTGACCCGCATTGGGTTTCTAAGGCTGTAAATATTTATGAAAGCAGATTGCCTCATCTTTCCTCCATGGAGAGCCTGGTGGGTTTGAACCACCAACCTTTTGATTAGGAGCCTAGTACCTTAACCCCACTAAACCACCAGAGCTCCTTTGTTGTACACTAGAAGTAATTTAGGAGCTCTGGTAGCATATTGCCTAAGGCACTTGACTGCTAACCAGAAGGCTTGCGATTCAAAGCCACCAGCCACTCCTCGGAAGGAAGATGGGGCAATCTACTTCATAGTGATACTGCCTCGGAAACTCAAGGAGGGGTCGCTATGAGTCAGGTCCGACTCAACGGCACGTAACAACAACAACAACAGAAGTAATTTATCTCTAAGGTCTGGCTCATGCAAACCAAACTTACAAATGACTCATTTAAAAAAAAGCAATAACTTCTGATTTAGAGTCAGATATATCACATTCAAGCTGATTTGATGTAAGTCAATCAGAGAATACTCTGGAAAATCTACATGGGAAATCTAGTTATAGTCAGAGGCAGTTTATCAGGTTTGGATCTTTTGGATCCTTGCTACTCGAACTGGGTCCATGACCAGAAACCTTGGCATGCCTGGGAGCTTGTTAGAAATGCAGTCTCAGACAACCCTGGGTCTGTACTGGTGGGAACCTGCCAGATCCTCAATTTTGCATTCATTGTGGAGCAGACACTGGCTTAGCCCTTAGTCTTGTTTCATGTTTTTCTTTTATGACACTTCAGAGTAAGAAACAAGAAAACCTTTTTAGGGTTTTGTGACAGGGTGGAAGTTTACAATAAAACTTGTAATAAAATACTTTGTAGACACAGAGACACAGATATATGGAGATAGATACATGTACGCAGAGACCCACAGAGACTTATAGAGAGACACATACCACACATATAGACTTCCCCACACAGAGATCCCCCCACATATACGCAAAGACCATCAGATGCCCTACACAGACCCTTTTCAAAGAGACCCCCTTGCACACACCCACAGAACCCCCTGTGTATTCAGAGTCACACCCCAGTACCCACAGAGACAACCCCCTACAAACCCACACACACACTGAGACCCCCTGCATCACAGAGAGTTGTACACACACAGAGACACGCTGAACTCCATCATGTAATGCTTAAAACTGAGCTCTTCATAATGGATGAATAGTGTTTTCCATAGTTATTTTGAGAGGAAACAAATATTCTCCCTAAGGTTCTTTTTTCCAAAACACATAATTTATCTTATTTTTGTTGTTATTGTTGAGAATAACACAGTAGAACACACATCAGTTCAACAATTTCTACATGTACAATTCAGTGAAGTTGATTACATTCTTGGAGTTATGCAGTCATTCTCATGTTCCTTTTCTGACTTGTTCCTCCACCATTAACATAAATTCACTTCCTCCTAAGTTTCCTGTCTAATCTTTCAAGTAGCTCTTGTCAGTGTGATCCTACATAGTTAGAACTTAAAAGAGCATAATGCTCAAGACATATTCTTTCCAAAAAAACCGAACCAAACTCACTGTCCTTGAGTCAATCCTGACTCATAGTGACCCCTCCTTGGGTTTCTGAGATGGTATCCCTATGGAGGAAGATTGCCTAGTCTTTCTTCCGAGGAGTGGCTGGTGGGTTTGAACCACCAGCCTTCTGGTTAGCAGTTAAATGCCTTAGGCACTATGCCACCAGAGCTCCCATTCTTTACTAGTTAAGCTAAATTATTGTTTGGTTTTAAAAAACGTTTCAGGGCATATTTTTGGTTTAAGGTTTAAAGATTATCTCAGGGCAGTAGTTTCAGAGGTTCACCCAGCCTCCATGGCTACAGAAAGATTGGATTCCATGAGAATTTGAAATTCCATTGTAAATTTTCCCCCTTTTGATCAGGATTCTTCTATGGAATCTTTGATAAAAATTACCAGCAGTAGTAGCTGGGCACCATCCAATTCTTCTAGTCTCATGGCAACCGAGGCAGTTGTTCATGGAAGTAATTAGCCACACATTTCACTTCCTCCTTCTATTCCTGACTCTCCTTTTCTGTTGTTCAAGGAGAATGGAGACTAGTTGTTGTACCTTGAATGGCTGCTTACAAGCTTTAAAGACCTCATGCAGTGAAGTAGGAAGTAAGAACAGAAGCATTGAACACGTTACAGGGCCAGTTAACTGGGATGTCCCATGAAACCATGACCCTAAACCTCCAAACCAAGGAACCAAATCCCGTGGTGTGTTTGGTTGTACATAGCAGCCTCAGCAGCTACTCCTCCTCCCCCCAGTCGTTGTTGTCTATATATCTAGTACAGCTTTTGCCAGTTCAACTTTTTACAGGTGTACAGCTTATTGACAGCAATTACATTTATTGGCTGCCTAAAGTACTTTGAATTGAGCCAGAAAATGAAGCAAAACCAGATGGGCTGCCATTGGGTCTGCAGAACAGTGAAAGCTCCGGAGCCAGTTTGCTTCTGGAACTGCTTGTTCCTGGGCATCATTTTCACTCTGACGTACTCATCAGGCTTGGATGGAAAGTCATCCTTCTCTCATTTTCTCCCAGGAGCTTGCATCTTAGATTGCTGGTTAAGCAGAGCTCTGTGCTCAGTTCCCCTTGGCATTAATTAGCACATTCCCTTGATATCTGACTCGAGTGCACCTGCCTAGGATCGGATGGTGCAGAAACCCTGCACCTGTGTGAAGGAATGCACATTGAGGCCTCTGTGCCTGGTGGAACTGTAGCATGTAGGGCTGGGAGGGGGATTTTGCTTAATGTAGAAAGAGTCATGGTTTTGGATTTTTTACGTTTTGGGTGATTTTTGGTAAAGGTTTGCCAAAGAGACCTGTGATGGAATTTCAGAATGACTCGGGAATAGTTAAGTCAAAACAGCTTTTAAACTGTACCATGGAGCAGGGGGATGCACACTGGGTTGCATTGGTTCTGCTAGAGATCGCTGGTCACTGTGTAGCCGGGTTTTCCTTGAGCCTCGAGCAGCATCCTGTGAGAAGTGTCTCGTTGGGAAGAAAGAGCTCTGGCCATCCACCATGCTTGTGTGGATAAATGTGGGACTGTTCCTGTCACACCACAGAGACAAATGTAGGTTCCAGAAAGAGATCATTTCTTTGCTTGGTGCATGTATGTGTATTTGAATAATTTGACCAGAAATCTGTGTGTTTTGTTTTTTAAATCATGAAACTATTTCAGACACATGAGAGACTACTGAGAAAACTGTAGTCACCACTCATTTAACAAATGTTAGCATTTCATAAAAGTTTTGTAGCTATATTTTAAAGATCTAAGATGTGGTAGATAACACTGAAGACTTTTTGTAACCCTTCCTTGTTCATTCCCCCCTTTGTCTTTCCTTCTCTCACTCCCATCGCCAAGGTAACTGCCTTGTTCCCTGTCCTTGCTCCTCAATAAGCTTATTAGCCCACAATTTTTTACTTGCTTTTTCTTATACTACTTGATAATGATGATAACTCACAGAACTTGATGATGATAATATCTAAAAATTATTTCCAGTTTGAATACAAACATTAATCTGCATAGCTAATTCTGTAACGCTAATTTCTGAGTTGACATGTGGTTGTTAGCTGCTGTCAAGTGGGTTGCCAACTCATGGTGACCCCCTGTACAAGGGATCAAAACTCAGTCCAGTCCTGTGCCAGCCTTGGTATCGCTTGGGGATCAGCTGTGGTGATCCATGGTGCTTTCATTGGCTGATTTTTGGAAGTGTATTGCCAGCCCTTTCTTCCTGGTGTACCTTAATCTGAAACCTGTCTAACATAATAGCAACACGCAAGCCACAGGTGACAGACAGGTGCGTGGTGACAGGATGTGAGGTGCCTTGGCCAGAAATTGAACCTGGGTCTCCCTTGTGGAAGAAGAGAATCCTGCCACTGAACCACCAAGGCCCCAGCTCTGAATTATCGTAGTGGCTTGTAAATGTAAGGGTCTTTAGGGTCTTTTTGGGCATCCCAAAAGTGAGTACAGTTTTTTTTTTTTTCCTTTTCTTGGGGTAGTGCCTTCTAATCTTACTGCTTGGCTAGCTTTTTGTTGATTAGTTATTTGACTTGCTCTTGGTGTCTCTTGCAATTTAATATTGACACATAATAGGTGCTTAATAAATGTTGTGATTATTGATCTGAGCCCAAGTCGTGGGCCATTGATTTATAGCCTCCTCCTCTCCCCTTGCTGATCTAGTTGCCTCTGTCCTTTGAAAGAATGTAACCTCTGATGCAGTCACACACAGGAGACTTCAGTATTAACTTTTCAGCCCTTGTATGTAACATTCTTAATCTCTGTCAGATGGTTCTGATATAAACCTTTGGAAAGAGCCCAGGGGTTTTCAGGTCTCAGATACGAACAGGAACCATGGATAGTGTAATGGCAGCATGATGATACTTGGCAGATCTAAAGCAGTGCTGGTTCTATTCAAGAGCATCAGGTTGATCCAGTTAAGGCTCTTTTGGCTTAAAACTTAGTTTGCATATTTTAGAGTTTCATCTGCTTTTTCTTTCCAGATTATTCCTTAAATATGTAGCAGAGATCATGGTGAATTATCCCCATTTGTAGACTGGGAGGCTGACTCAGCAGGAGGGCTGTTGGCTTACAGGGAGCAAAAGTGATAGTACTTTGGGACTCACTGTCAGACTGTTAAGGAGCTCTGATAGTGTAGTGCCTAAGGCATTTGACAGCTAACCAGAAGGCTGGCTGTTCAAACCCACCAGACACTCCACGTAGGAAGACTGGGCAATCTACTTCCTTAAAGATTTACCGCCTGAGAAACACAGGAGGGGTTGCTATGAGTTGGAATCAACTTGATGGCAGTGAGTTTGGATTTGGTTTGTCAGAGTCTTAAAGCCTCTTTCCAAGTTTTGGGAAGAAAAGGAAGGTTGGGACCTTGCCAAGATGTAACAGAGTATCAAAGAATGCTCTTTTTAGAGTGCTTATAAATATGAATTAGTTCTTACAATAGCACTGTGGTAAGCAATTAGAGTTTACTAATGGAAAGGCTCAATAAAATAAAATTCCACTAATGTTTGTTAAATGCTGTTAAGCACTCTACGTAGTTCTTGCCAAGACTCCAAAGCAGACCGTTGTAAACTCAAAAAACAAATTCTACATTTTAAATTTTACAGTTTGTGACTATGAGCAATTTTGCCAAGATAGCATCTCAGTTTTTGTGTCTGAAAAGATAAATAATTTTGAATGTTAAGGTTATACAAGGAAATACTCTTGAGCAGAGATTGGAATGCAAGTATTTCAAAAAAATGCTTGTCTGGGTCTTAGAAGGACTAGATGGTGCCCAGCTACTACTTTCAACTGCTTGGAAAGGGATCAGTGCAGGAGATCCTGGATAGACTGGGAAAACAATATGGAACAGAACTCAAAATCATAAAAAAAAAAAAAAGACCAGGTTTACTAGTCTGATAGAGCCAGGTTTACTAGTCTGATAGAGCCTTGATAGAGCCCCCAAGACTATGGCCTCTAGTTACCCTTCAGGGCTGGAACTGAACTCATTCCTGTGGCTTCCAACCAAACAGTAGACAGGCATATAGGGTGAACATTTACATTTAGAACGATCAATCATGGGAGAACAGAAGGACAGTATTTGCACAGGGTGATAGATGGGGGGCAGGAATGCATAGGAGAGAAAGGAGGACATAGGGGAGGGGTAACTACAGGGAAGAAGTGGGAAGAGAACTGTTACATTTGGGGATTGCAGCCAATGTCATGAAACAAAATGTGTGTAAACTGCTATATGAATTTGCTCTGTAAACTTTATCCAAATCACAATTTTTTTTTTTTTAATTGTTTGGGTCTCAATACTGCACAAGTTTTCAAAGGTTGGGTAAAAAGTCAGAATTTGAAAACCAAGAAACAAACCTGTTTATCTCTAGTTACATCTTGTCTGCTTAAGTATTATAAGTCTTATGATTGAGTCAAATGAGCATTTGGCTGAAGTATTATACAGTAAGAACTCAGTTTCACTCTTTTACCCTGTATTTGAAATGTTAGTATAACATGTCAATGAATATGTCTTGTAGATACTTCGAAGCTGGAGTCAAGAGTAGAAGGAGGAGGTCAAAAAAGAGCTTGGGGAGTTGTCATAAGGGTCGTAACCTTATTCATGTTGTTGTTGTTGTTGTTATTTGCCGTCGAGTCGAACCCTATTCATAATGGTAGCTATACTTAGAAGGACTGTAGAGAGGACACAGGAGACCTAATGAGAGAGCCATGGTGTCCAAAGTACCCTAAAGGGATGGGAAGAAGAAAGAGTGTTGGCAAAATTAATTATTATCCCACAAACATCATTTTACTTTGTGTAGCTCTTTATAGCTTTCAACTTATCTTACTTGATACTGAAATAGTTTGAAATAAACTAGCTGACTCTTAGTGTAACATGCTAAGCTAAAACTGCTTTTTTCCTAAAAACTGCTATGATAAAAAATAAAAATAAACCTAGATATTTTATGTTGAATTATGTTGGCCCTTGTTCGTACAGTGTTAATATTTTTCAAAGAAATAGAAATTATGTTGAAAATTGAGCCCAGCTCTATTAATGGTCTTTCTGGGCCTCTCTGTTGCACTGTGCTACTACTGGAAAACCATTAGTGTTGATTAAGCAGTAGGTTACTTAGGTTTTTTTTTTTTTTTTTTAAAACACCAGGGTAGTTACAAAGTTGCCTTCAGGTCTGTTTAAAGACATGGAAGAAAGGCCTGGCAATATATTAGCAAAACTCAGCCAGTGAAAAGCCTGGGTCACAAGGATCCGATCCACAGCCAATCAGGGGGTGGCACAGGAACAGGTGGTATTTGGTTCTGTTGTGCATAGAGTTGCTGGAAGTCAGGGGCGACTCAGTGGCAGCTAACAACAGCATCTTCCTTGAAAATAAAGTTTGTAGATGAGATGGCTTTGGCGTTGATTATTATTGCTGATCAGTGGCTGTACCTATAGACTGTCACATAAGGCTCTGGAAGGATTATTGGTGTTTGCCAAGCAGAAAAAGATTTGTGAGAAGGGCATGGGATTATTTTGAGGCTTTATCAGCCAGCTGAAACCTTGAAAGCCTGTAATTATATAATGCCTCATCATTTCTGGGATAAATAGTATGGCTTTCTAGAAAGTGCCTTTAATTATCTCTTATAATAATTGGGGAGCTCTGGTGCCGTAGTGGATAAGGCACTTGAGTGCTAACCAGAAGGCCAGTGGTTCAAACCCACCAGCTGCTCCACAGAAGGAAGGAAGACTGGGTGATCTACTTCTGTAAAGATTTATAGCCTCAGAAACCCAATGGGGATTGCTATGAGTCGGAAATGACTTGATGGCAGTGAGTTTTTTTTTTTTTTTTTAATTCCCTTTAATTGGTCCATCTTTTTCTCTTCCATCCCCATCTTCAGAAATATTTTCCGTGTTTTACTTATCTCTAAGGAAAAACATATTCTTTGAGCACTTACTTGGTAAATAATTTTGACCACTATAATAGGTGCTGGATACCATGCTCAGTGCTGAGGATATAAAGGTATATAAAACCAGTGATTGTCCTCGCCCTCATGAAGCAAGAACCTAGTGAGGGAGTCAGATGTTAGGCAGGCACATGGTGACACAAATAAATGATAAATCACAACTGTAATAAATGCTACGAAGTGGATGTGATACTGTGGAGAGAATTCATTATAGGGGGGACCTGACCTAATCTAACAGGGAATTTTCCCAGAGAAGGTGATATTTCAGATACGAAGAACATGTGAATAGAACAAACGTAATAGCAAGGGCCTTCAGTAGGAGGGAGCATGTAGCTTTTGAATAATTGAAAGAAGTCTAGGTAATCTGAGAGCAGAGGAATAATATGATGTAAGATGCAGGTCCTTATAGACTGTTAAGAATTTGGCCTTGAAGATGGCGGACTAGACAGAAAGATTGCACAGACTCTCTTCAACAAAGAAAAGGGAAACCAATTAACACAGACACAGAAGATAATCCTGGACCCCTGAGCCTTGAAGGGAAGGATATAGAAGTGGACTAAACCCCAAATAGCAGAAGAATTTGGGTGAAAATACCAAAAAAGGAGACATACGGAGCTGCGGTGTGGCAGCGGTGGTGAGCGATTCTGACAGCACAGACAGCTTGCAGATTCCCGAGTGGTGGTAAGACTTAAGAATTAACCTAAAAATCACCCTGCTAGCCAGGGACTGCACGGAGGACTGTGCACGGTGGCTGGGGAACAAACAGAGAAGGTGAAGAGAAAGGTGGGCTGAGCTATGGTCTTTTGCCGGTCCAGAGGGCGCCACCATTTTGAATGTTTAAAAAGCGGCTTGACTATTTTGGATATTTAAAGAGACAGTGCTCTCACAGATTCCTGGGGCTTAAGAACATGTTCTGCTTTCCAGCAACCTCAAGGACACTCGGGACCTGTAAGACTGACAAGTTTTTTTAAGGTTATTCTATTGTAATTTTTGTGTGATTGAGTGGGAGACGACAACAGTCCCCATAAGACACGACTACACCCACACCTCCTGCATCTTCACTTACTGAGCAACAGCCACTACCACCTCCTCCACCAACGGGCCAGCGATAAAAAACCACCAAGAAGAGCCTGTATCACTCTTGACTGCTCTTTACAAACAGTTAACAAAGATCTAAATACAACAATGCCATGATACCTCGGAGACAACAGACCATCACAGTCCGCACAAAGAAGCAGGATAAAGTGGTAGAAACAAGGGAGCAGGATACAGACCCAGAACACATCCCGGAGGAAGAAGCAGCATTGGAACTCTCTGATA